TTTTGAAAAGCTATATGCATTAATTTTTTATTTAATGCATCAATTATATATTAAATGCCATGAATATATACTAAAAAAATTGCCCACAACAGAAAAATATTATAAGCACAGGTGTAAGAGAAAATACAATGATGAGTAAAACATCATCCAAAGAATATCATAGTTTGATAAAACCAATGAATAATACCCTATTTACAGCTGAAAGGACTGAAATAAATGGCTTCATAAATATCAACAGCAGATTCATGGGAGAATTCATGTTACCTTACTCCTAGATCCATGGCTTTCTGCAAAGCCAGAAGGTTTTAGAGGATGGAAAAGTGACTAAGAAAGGTACATCTATTTTGATTTCCAGGAACTAATTAATTCTTCACTTTGCTTTCAGGTCATTTAAGAGAACATTGAAATAGCCTCATGACTAACCATTTTTGAAATCTTAGACAACAGGAAATGATTTTCCAAGTAAGATTAAGCTTATTGAATCATGATTTAGGTAAGTCAATTATTTCCATCCAATCCCTTTTCTATCCCTATATCAGATTAGACTCAGATTCAGGTACATTTAAGGGGAAAAAATCCCTAAAATATCACTGCTTAACCATAAAAAAGTTTATTGAATAAGTGTAGAGTCAGGCAATGCAGGGCGGGTTTGGAGACTCCACAAAGTCATTGGACATTCAGTCTCCTAAGTCTTTTTCACCATGTTGAGTGGATCTGGGGAGGGGGGGCAGCAAATTAACATTTCTAACAAGTTTCCTGGTGATGAGGATGCTGCTGTTCCAGGCATCACACTTCAGGAGCCACTGAATTTGAATTTCAAGAGGAATCAAAGAGGTGAGATATATCTGGGTGTAAAGCACAATATCCCACCTGTTGAGTAAATAGTCTGTAGCACAAAATGTCTGTGAACTTGAATTTTATATAAATGAACTGTTTAAATGTTATCCACCCCTGATTTCTACATTTTCAATATATTTTAGGAGCGACAAAGCCAAAATAAAGAAAGTCTTCACTTTGAATTAGAGGATTCCTTTTAGTTTTTTTTTTTTTTAATTATACCTGAAAGAAAAGAATTCTACATGAAGTTTTGACATGATGTCTAGGTTAATTTTAAATTTCAGGTATATCAAAGAAAGTCTTTAAGTCTCTTTTTAATATTAATAATGTTACATTATATCTTTTAATGTTCTCCATATACAGGTAAATAAGAGCACTCCAAAGTCACAGGTATTATTGCTTACTGGCAACTAAATTTTAACAATTTTGAAATCCTGTCTAGTCTTGGACCAAATACAGAGAAATTCCACTCTTAATTATTTTTTTCTAGCTCTAAATTGATTTTGTCAAAGGACATTTTATACCTACCAATCAAAAATTTACTGTAAGTGTAGATATTTTTAATTGAGTCATCTTCATAAAATATATATTATAAATATACTTCAAATATTGTCTTTATAATGTTTATGGTACATTAGTCTATTTATGTACTTGAAAGTAGTTCAACAGAGATAAAAATTTGAGGCCAAGTGTGGTTTTATTTTTTTTTATGCAACATTGTTTTTTCAAATAGATTTATAAATTTTTGTCTGCTTAATTTTATCGGGCTTACAAAATATATAGGGTTTATACATTCTTAATAATATTTTCTTTTATTATATCTCGATTTTCTTCTCCCTCCCTAAGTAGAAAGACAAACACAGTGCCTGGCTAAATGCAATGTTCTTTCACATATGGCAAAAAAAATAAAATAAAAGATGAGTATATATACTGCAATATACATTGTTTGTTTGTCTCATTATTCTAACTGAATCCAGGATTTTCAACAAGCATAGGATTTTTATAACTAGACACCACATAGTTTTTTTCTATGACAATAAAAATTGTCATCTCCAAAAATTCCATTGAGAATATTTTCCAAATATCATAGCATACTCCATTTTCTAAAAGTAAATGTATGCATACATAACACATTTTCTAAAATATTTTTAGTGAATTCAGAAGGAATTAAAAGCTCAGTAAAGGAAGTGCTAACAAAGCTTGAAAATAATATCAATTTTTATCTGTTTTGGTAATTCCACATAATTTTTCATGAAATAGTTAAAGATCTGAATCAAGATAGATAAAATTTAATTATATGTTTCCCTCACTATAGATATAATTATAGGAAAGCAATTCATATGATTAATTTATATATGATTAATAAATTTATAATTAACATAAAATAATCCATAATATGCAATATTTTGTAAACAAACTAAATTTGTAAACAGTCCAGTGGAATTTCATAAATAGCACCCATCCTACAACTAACACATTTTTCTAAAATTTAATTTTAAGTATAAACAGCAACTAACTGAATTTCCTAAATAAATCAAAAGATGGTCACAGTTCCACTGTGAGATAAATCTTAATGATATTTGGAAAACATTTTAAATACCCAAAGTTTTTTAACATAATCATTTCCCACACATTCAAATAATTCTGGAATATCTTTGGAGTATCTTCTTTTTCTGACAGATAAATCTATGGGCTTTAATTTTACTCTATGTTGTAATATAAATTTTCCCATTCATACTTAAACAAATATAAGAAATATGAAGACATAAAAAAACACAAATAAGTTAATGTTTGCCTAAAGATTTTTAATTGCTCAGGAAACATTTCTGTATCTACATTCAAGAATACAACAGTATATTATGATATTTTCCCAAATATGTGATGTTATATTTTAAAATTTCAAAACTGGCATTTTTGTCAGAGTAATGTATACATCAGACAACAGAAATTGATTGCATTATCCTCCCAAATTATTTTACTCACAATAGTTATAAAATTTATATGTTGTGAACAACTTATAAAATAAAATCTTACTTTTTAAAACAACTTTTTCATCTGCTCTAATATATAATTTCAGTTAAGAGACAACTATAATTAGAAAACATAACTGATATAAGATTAATTACAAAATTTAAAAACATTAACTATTCATTTTTTTAATACTCAACTACCTTATAGATCTTAAAAAAATAAGTTTCTGATTTTTGTAGATACTCCACCCTCATGTAGAACATAACTCCCACTCTTCAAGTGTAGCTGCACTTAGTGACTTTCTTCCAAGGAGTACAGTATGGCCAGGAGGAGACAGTGACATTACAGAGCAGACACCTGCCAAACACAGCCAGCCAGGTGATCAAGGTCCACATCAGGAGTGATAAGTTATGTTGATATTATGGGCCCTTGATTTGATGTAATAAAAATGGAACTTTGCCTCTGTGGACTTCCTCCTGAAAACAGTCTAATTATGAGGAGCATGCTAGACAAATCACAATTGGGAGACATTCTACAACATACCTAAGCAAAACTGTCCAGGTCATGGAAAACAGGAAAAATTTGAGAAGCTATTACAGTCAAGAGAAACACAAGATGACATGACTAAATGTAATGTAAACTGAGTGAGATTCTGGAACAGAAAAAGGACATTAGGGGAAAAATGGAGGAAATCTGAATAAAGTTTGCACTTTAGTATATCAATATTGGCTTATTTGTTGTGACCAAATGTATCACAGTTGTGTAAGTTGTTAATAGGGGAAACTGGAAGTGGGATATATGGGAACTCTGTATTATCTTTGCAGTAATTCTATAAATCTAAAACTTCTAGAATAAAAAGTTTTATAAAAAGTAAAAAAAAATAGTTTTAGTCTGAACGAAAAATTGCCATGTGATGTACACTGTTATAGTTTATGATTTATAGTTTGGCACAAAACTATTAAAATATTAATTAAATATATGGCTTCTAACTTAATAAAATATAATATCTTATTGAAATATTATACATTCAAAATAATTTATTAACTGATGTCATCATTTATCCATCGTTTAATAAATATTTGCTGTGTTGCTTAACAGATTTCCTTATTTTAACACATGCCATATCATCTTCATTTCTGATTTTCCATTTTATAAAAGTAACCACAGTATAAACTGAGTATTAGTCCCCATATGAATGATCATACAATTTTTGCATATTTAAAGAGCTAAGTGCTATGTATCAGGTTTGCAAGCCTAATATATGCGGGATTGGTTCTATCAATACTTATAGATGGTGGGCCTGAGTCAAACTAGGAGTGCAGGTTCTTGCCAGTTATATTTTATAAAGATAATAGTACATCGTGGTGGGCAAACAAAACTTATTTATGAGTCTCAGTTGACCTGGGGTCATCAAGATTGAAATTCTTTCATAGAAATCCTCTCATGTGAGCCACATGAAAAAATCTCTGTGGTTCAAATAGCTTTGAGCTTTTATGTTCTGTGTCTTTCCAACAATCCTAGAAGCTGTGGGAACCTAATAACACATTCACATAAGCAGATCCAAGAACAAGCTTTGAAGCATCCTTAAAGAAACAGTCCTGGTAGCACCTCCAACAGGGGAAAAATATAGTGAGAAATGTGCTCTCATTTACCAAATTTTTTAAAGACCTCACCAAAAAACATTTAAGAATCCTTGAATCCTTGAATTCTTCAATATATAGCCACTTGGGTAAAGGAAACAATTTTCTGGCACCAAAAAATAAAAATTCTAAAAGCGTAATTTTCCCAAGCTTTTTGAAGAAAATATTTAATTTTCATCTACAGTAAAAATTCATTTTTCATCTGCCTCTACAATACCCTGTTCTCCCACATGTTCTTCCATGGCATAGAAAATAACATAAATTTGTATCTAGAAGGTGCAAGAGAGCACATAGTACAGTCTGGAAATGGTCGATCTATACATGCATACAAAAAGAAAATTAAGAAATAAAATTTTTATTTCTAGAGAATATGAAAACTATCAGACAAGGAGAATTCAGGGGCGCTCCGTATATATATAGTACCCTTATCCATAAGTGACTCAAAGTTCACTTCCCATGAATAAACACATGAGCAGATGCTGCTACCATTTTGCATTCAATAAACTCCTACATGTGCATTTGTAGATGTTACTGTATTAAAAGACACATTTGTTACTTGACACAAGTCTTTGCTAGTGTCCTAAATTTGGGTTCCAGATGGTCTAGAAACTCAAGCCCCTCTTCTTCCTGCCGATCACTACAGCAGCCGACCGAGCCAGCCACAGACCCTTTTCCTTCATAGTTATATGAACGAACGTAGTCTTCAGAATGTTTATGCTCCTCATCTTGACCACAAAGATACACCTTCTGTATTGAAAAAGAGCACATTTTATTATTTTTTTTAAAAAACACCTAAACGTATTAGCATTAAAAATAATGTCTTTGATTTACCTTTTACTGTTTAATTTTTAATCAGAGTGTGTCCTCTAATGGGTTCCTACATATAAAAAATGCACATGATTGGTCTGTATTATATTCATTCTTAAAATTATAGCAAATATATAAATGCTTCCAGTGAACACGTTCATGAAAATTAAAGCTATAAACATATTACACAACTAATTTCCCATTCAAACATAAGATCTATGTAGTTGAAATGTATCTTTGTAGCTTTTTCACATATGTGAGGGACACCAAGATCAGCAATGATTCTTTTGTTTAGACACTATGAGAAATTATACTCATGTATTAGACTAAGCTGCTAATATTAACCTATGTTGCTTAAGCTGAAGATAAAACAAAACAAGAAACTAAAACCCTAAATAAAAGCTTAACAGTCTGTCAGTTGATGTTGTTAGTTAGGACTTCAAAACCACATGGAAAATTCAATACACTGAAAAATGTTTATAATTTATGATCAGTGCATTACACTATATCAATTATTTCACTCCAGGTGATTTTTCTGTTAATTTTTAGGGAAGAAGATATCAATCTTCTTATCCTGTCTAAACCTATCTGCATATGTCACAACTTGATAAAGTTTAGAAAACCTTATTTTAATAATTAAACTTTTAAAAAACAATTGAACATTTTCCTGTCTATACTTAAACCCCAAACCCACAACTAGGATAATTCAACATTAAAAAGACAATGTGTTCCATCTGTATGAGGAAGAAAACTTTCGGGAAATCCTGATTTATAAATCGTGTTTAACTTTCATGCAAAAGAAACTTGAAAACATTGACACTTACTTCTCCAAGTCGAGGTTGGGTGAAGCTGTGCCAGTCGGTGTATGCATATCTGCCAGTATCTGTTACTCCCTGTCCCATTCCCTTGACAGACTCCAAGGTGTGCTGTCCACCTCCTTTGTTGGACTCCAGAGTATAACAGCCCTTGACCATCTCAAAGTTTTGTTGCGTCTTGATTCCCTGGCCACCAAGAGTGCCAACAGACATGCTTGTATCACAAATGTTGGATGTCTGTGTGGGGAGTCTAATATTTGCTTCCTATAAATAAAGGTAGAGTTATAAAATGAATGAATCAAATTGAAACTAACATTTGCTTTCATCTATTCCCACCATAGGTGAATTGTTTACCTGCTTTCCCTCTCAGTTCCCCATATTTAGATCAGGATAATAACTGGACCCACATCATAGATATTATGGGTTGAACTGGGTCCCCCTCTACACCAAAGTTCATTTGTTGAAATCCTAACCCTCTGTGCTTCAGAATATGACCTTATTTGAAGACAAGGTGATTGAAAATACAACTAATTAAGGAGAGGTCATTCTCTATTGGGGTGGGTCCTAGGCCAATATTATCAAAATCCTTATAACAAGGGGAAACTTATACACACACAGAAAGAGACAGAATGCAATACGAAGATTTGATTTATCTTGACATAAGCCAAAGAACTAACAGAAGCTAGGAGAGGGGCCAAGAACACATCCTTTCCTTGCACCTTCAGGGAGGATCATGTCCTGCCAACAACTTAATTTCTAGCTTTTAGAAGACTTTAGATAAGAGAATCAATTTCTATTGTTTAGTGGCACTTTCTGATGTCAGCCCCAGGAAATTAATGTAGTAGAACTGTGGGGTTCAAATGAATTAACGTAAGCTGGGCACATGGAATTCTACTTGACATAGTAAGTACTCAATAAATACTAGCTGTTATTATTACTATTATTGTGTAACGATCAGCCATCATCATTGGATTACCATACAAATCAAAGGAAAGAGGAAAGTGATTTACCATTACTTCTTCTCCAGGTCCCTCAGTATTTGATACAATTAAATTTTGTTGGGCTACATCTTCTGGAAAACATTTCTTTACTGTCTTCTTAGCAGTAACACAGAAACATGTAAACAGAATACCTAAAAAATAAAAAATATTTAAATAAAATAGTATTCATGGTGATATACATTAAGATACTTGAATGTAATCAGTGTAATGTTTCTCTGATTTCCTCCACATTGCAATAGTTGTTTTACCTTATTAAAATGGAAATTAATATTATTGATATTTAAAATCCATTCAGAACATATCCAAAGCTCTTAGAAACACAAAATAAAGAGCATAAAACAAATAAAAAACATAATTACATAAATTTATTGCCCAGTTTTGAAAATGTACATCAACTAATACTATACTAAATAAAACAGCCAATTTAACCTGCAAGTCAAATCATGAATTATGATACAGTAAAGTCTCTGGGGAAAGTTTACAAATTCAAAATTTGTGTGTCCTTAAAAAGATAATTTAAAAAAGGGGAAAGAGAGAGAGAGAGAGAGATACAGAGGGAGGAAAGGAGAGAGAGAAATGTAGGCAATCGTTTCCATCACTTTTGCATCTCCAAAAAATATTTGCAACAAGCAAAGTCTTGGCATTCTTTGCAAGCATACTTTTCCTCAGTGACTCACCATACAACCACTTCCTACTCACTGGAGTCTTCTTAAGATGCATGCTAAAGCATTTCTTTTTTTTTTTTTTTTAAGATTTATTTATTTATTTATACAAGCAGTGGGTATATTCAGAAGCGTGGGAGGGTGAGAGAATTCACCAGAGTCAGAGCGGAGAACAGAACAGGCAGACCGACTAAGTACACTGCTGAGGGGAGCAGCGGGCTGCAGGAGAGGTCTGCGCGCCATGTGGGACCCTCGCCCAGCAGCTGGGGATCGAACCGGCACTGCAGAGGCTGCGGGCAGCTTCACAGCCCAGTGCTCAACCGCTGCGCCACCAGGGAGGCCCGCTAAAGCATTTCATTAATAACATTGACTATAAACATTTAAGTAAATATTGGAACTACTCTGTTTTCACTAATTCTTTTTTGTGTATTTACTACATAAGCTTGGCTAGTTGAGAGACAGTAATATTTTGTGTGGAGGAGCACATTAACATTCATTTTAGCCAACCTCTTCACGTTCCATGTGGAATAAGGAACCATTTATTGAAGAGGAAATTACTTATCCAGAGTCTCAGTTAATTATTTGAAGAACTAAGGCTATCTAATCCTCTGAAAATTTGTTTAAATTTAACCTGTTCTTACTGTACTGTTTCTTCTTGTATCACTTTGAATCCTAAGTCAGATAGTATGTGCAATATTTTTAAAAGGACACAAGGTAATGGTGCACAGGTGCATTGATGAAGGAAACTCTATGGGGACTACACTCTATGGGGGTGGGGGAAAGTAAATATTGTTTAAAAATGAATAATGATGTAAAAAAATAAAAAAAATTAACATTAAAAAAGGACACAATTATCAAAGGTTATAAATGCTACTGACATAAAGAAATGCCATATACTTTTAAACTTCAACTCACACATTCTGGATAATTATACTCACACAGCAACAACGCAGAACCCAACACCATGGCAAGAATAGCCCATTTTCCAAGTATTACATTTGATAACTTGACATCTCTCACATCTTTAATATTCATGTTACAGTCAGATGGAGTTGTACAATCACATACTCTCACTGATAACATGTGTTTTGCAGCAAACCCATGTCTATCTTTTATTTGGATAGGCACATCATAATAGTTATAGTCAAGATTTTGCCGTTGACGAAGAATGGCAGTTTTACCTATGGGAAAAAAAGATAGAGAATATGTATTAACATGATCTTTCAAGAGCAACATCATTCAAACTTGATATTTTTGATGGGGATGGTAAAAGAACCATTAAATTAGGAAAAAAATAATGGTTCATTTTTCTTTCTTTAAAATGCTTGGATTTCTTGAAAAACTATGATTTTTAATTGATCTTGCACTATGATTGTATTAGACTATGTTGTATTTAATGTCTTTCAAATATTATCTTTAAATAGATTTGTAAGTTTTCTTTAAAAATATCAGCAACAGGAACAAGAGTTTAAATTTAGCATAAATATATTATTCATTACTTTAAAAAGCAAGATTTTATCTTTAATGGGTTCAATAAAATATTTTCCCAATATGAATATTTATTTATTATCATGAGCTGAGGTGAAAAATGAGAACCAGATTGAGTTCCTACTGATTAGAAGAATTATTATAATTACCATCCTTTGATTCTATAGTCCAAAGTTTGCTGGCAGAATTATCCAGAAAGAACTGAAAAGGTGGACCATTATCAGGTCCATCTGGATCTACGGGTTCAAGAACAGCAAAATCTTTAGAATGCTGACAAATTGTCACTTCTTTTTCAAGTTGTGGTGCATGATCATTATAATCTTCCAAACGAACTACTAATGTTCCAGTGCAAGATCTGCCATCTAAGAAAGTTAAAAAAAAAAAAGGTTATTTCTTCACTTAAAAATGCATTTGCAAAAATCTGTATGATACGAATGGATAAGTTGCTTTCTACTAGCTTTCAGAACTTGAATGATCACACATAATTCCCAGATCAAATGCTCTCACTACAAGTACAAAATAGTCACATCATTTGTCCTTGAAGATCGGCGACTGCACCAGATATTTTGAGGCGCTTTTCAAAAATGTGTGACATTATAAGGTATATCACTGCAGAAGCACCAGTTGAAAGTAAATTTCTCATCCTTCCTTACAAAGAGCATACATTCATCCTAAGAATATAAGTTAATGGCCAAATGTCATCAACTACCTCTTCAGCTTCTTCTCCTGGCCCTTTTCTTCATACACTGCTCAAATCTTGTAAAATTTCTCATCAATCCCCCTAGTTTCCTATCTTCATGGTACATTCTGTTGCCACTGCCAGAAATCTCTTTTTTTCCTTTTTTGCCAGGCAAAACCCTATTATTCCTCAAGAATCCATTCATATATCACCTTTTCATGAAATTTGGCATGATGTTTATGGACAATAGCAGCCACATTCTCCATTGATTTCTCAGAATACTTGAATCATTGTCAAGTATCAATAAATATTTTTAATTAAAACAATATCCATTATTTGTGTTTAGGTGACAATGAAGTTCAGAAAACATGTTCAAATTTTACTATTTGTGATAATATTATAAAACACAAGTGGTATGATTTCAAAAAATGAAATAAACATAAACATAATTGATGAAATTTCTCCTTTGATAGTTCTTGTCCAAAATTTGAAGCATGTATCTTGAATTTATCTCAAAAAATACTGTAACTCATACACAACTATGATCCTTTTCTTTCAGTTTTAATAATACTTAAGCCTTTTTATGTAGTGTATTTCAGTTAGGAAGTCAAAGTCAGGAAAGAAAAGTCTTAGAAGCCTGTTGAAACTACAAAAGACTAAGGGTAAGTTCATTTTACTTCTGGGAAATAAAGCCAAAAATAAGTAATACTGACAACAAATGAAGATTGTGAAAAGCACATTAAAAGGGTATATTTTTGGTCAGGCCTGGTGCCATCAGCGGGGCTCCTCATGCCCCTGTCCCCGGGGCCTCTTCCCTGCGCCTACAAGTTTTCCATGTTGGGGATTTTTTATTGTTATTAAACTGATGGGACTTTCTGTGTTTTTATATTGACTCTGTGATGTGGGCTGTTTAATAAAGCTAGGATATGCCTCTGGTGCAGCTAAAAAAAAAAAAAAAGAGTATGTTTTTCCACCTCTAGACCTTACTTTAAGCACATAAGCAAATGTCAAATATCAGGGAATATGGACTATCAAAATCTCAGACTGGAAAGTGTCTATTTAGATTAACTAAAATCTAAATTCACAACAGGTCAACAATTGAAAAGCAATAGTTCCCCAAAGCTACTTAAACATGTTCAGAAACTGGAAGCTCCGCATTATGACTCAGTCCAGTTACTGAAGACTTATGTTCTTTCTTATCAAGCTATAATGTGACTCCAAGATACTTCCAACAATTTGTTTATGTTCCTTTTGGACTATACACACAAAATATTTACCTCTTTCACATCACACCCTTAAATATTTGTTCTTTTAAAAGTCAAAGATGGCAAACATTTTGTATGCTTCTAGACACAATTTTCTATATTAAAATGAATTGTTCCAAGTGTCATTATGCACATGAAATTGCAAAGTTCTTAGTAGTAAGTATCATAACCTGGATCTAAATATTATTGCTCTCAAATAACAGAAGAATGAGAAACATGAATACCTACATTAAGCAAACATTGCCAAACTTTCTGTCAGATATTTGATAAAGAGAAGGTTTAGCAAAGGGGTCCTTATTTAAAACTGAGCTCCTAATCAATCAAGTTAGGGGAGCAAAGTACACATGAGAAGAGAAGAAACATCACCTATGAGAATCAGCACATGACTTCCATGAAAGGAAGGCTTAAAAGGTATTAAAACTAAAAAAAAAAAAAAAAGAGTGGGTCCAATCACAGAAGTTGCCATATCCATTCATTTGAAAAAATTAAGGGGTATGAATTTCAGACTGGAATAGCAGTGCTATTCTAGGTGGGTGGTGTATAAAACGATGCTTTCTAGAATCTTGGTAGAGAAACCAGTCTCACTGACAAAGAAGAGTGGTACATAAATGCAAGGAAATAAACAATTCTAAGAAAACTAGAGGAATACTTAGATTATCATCCTGAAATATTTTCAAACATCAAAACTAAATGGCAGTATGGAAACAGAAGAATTACTTTCCGTTTGGCATTTTGAAGTATATATTAATGGAAACTAGATCCTTCAAGGATCTAGGAAACTATATCCTTCATTTCATTCTATGATCTTCCATTAAAATTTATAGCATTCTTATCTTTTCTTCTTCTTGAGCACACCCAAGTTATACATGAGCTAGGACATAGATTTATACAGTTCAGATTTGGCATTTTATTTCCTTGTACTGTGATCTCTGTGCTTACATGTTGTTTTTTACACCAAAGACAAAGCTGATTTCTTATATTTCTGCTCTCCACATTTTCCTTCTCTTCAAATAGTATTTCATTTTCCTCACACCAAGTTTCTGAATTTCCATGAAATCTCCTGTTTTATACTTTAACTTAGGCAACTCTTAACTGATTTCACTTCTTACAATATCCATACATTCTTTTATGGGAAAAGTTTTTATACCATAGAATACCTTGTGAGATCATATCCTTAACTGGTATCATGTGAAAAATTGACTTTGTGTGATGCCTACCTTCTAGGGTAACTTGCTTACTAATTGGGATTTAATAGACCATCATTTATGGAATAAATAAGTAAATATAATCTTTGTGTGGTATCATAATTGTGTTCTTAAACTACTCAGATTTTACTTTTATCTAAGAATAGCAAATCACCTGGGATTATAGAGCAGCTAACTAAACTTCTCAGCTAAGATTTTTCCCATTCTTTAGTTTTATCCTAACCTATATTGAAAAAACTACATTAAAAGTATGTGTGAGAAGTATCAAGAGGAAAAGAAAATCATATGCACATATTTAAGTAATTATATTCATATTTAAGTTGTCTTTCAGATTTTGAAACCTAAGTGTTTTGATTCATGGGAATAGTTTTCTAAAAAGATTTAGTCACTGGTTATGATGTAAATCACACTATTTCCTTTCCAAGGCAATAGGACTAGAACAAGGCTGAGTGAGAATAGTCAGGAAAAAAAACCTAAATAGGGCAGATGTGCATGGAAAAGCTTGCCAGAAAATCAAGATATGACTTTTGTTGTAATGCTATAGGAAAAAAAAAATAGGGGTATAAGATGTGAGACAGCATTTGTCTTTATTTTCTTATCAAAACAATAAGGTACAAAATGAATAAACAAACCATTTACGTGGCTTACTTTCAACATTTTTTAATTTCCATTTGATATCATACACTCACCAATTTTTACTAAAAATCCTAATGATTTTACAGGATATGACCACTACATTCCTCTATCAATTTGTCTGTTTTGAACGTTTAACATAAATACAGTAACCATAAAAAGTACAGACACAATCTGGGATTAGGCCAACAGTCAAAATAATTGTCTCTGTCATAAAAGCCCAAGTTCATTTGTTTTTATCAATTATGACAATTTACTCAAAATTGGTATATATTGGTATGATGGAATGATACATTGTAATTTCTATTTCTTTTTATTATCTTCTTTTAATATATATTTTATATATGTTTATGATCTTACATTAACATTGTAGTAAGTATATATTCAAAAATAGTATATTTATAGTAATATGTGCTCAAAAAGTTTTCAGAGCATTACTTTATGACAGTTGAGGAATGTTTCTTTACATAGTACGAATGTGTTTCTTTACAAATTAGTCTTGAAAAAGAATTGAAAATCACAGCAGAAATGGAAATATGTAACTTCTAAGACTGAGTCAGGAAGAAATAGAAAACTTGAATAGACCACATACAAGCAATGAAATTGAAACTATATTCAAAATTCTCCCAAAAGACAAAAACTCAGGAGCATATAGATTCACTAGTAAGTTCTGCCAAACCTACAGAGGAACAAATAATTATCCTTCTCAAACTCTTTTAAAACATTAAAAAGTAATTCTTCCAAATACATGAGGGTTGGAGGTGAACATTGCCCTGAAATTCATATCTGACAACAGCATCACAAAAAACAAAACCACAGACCAATTTCCCAGATGAATATGCATGCAGAGTTTCCCAACAAAATCTTAGCAAGCTTCATTCAACAATGCACTATAAGGATCACACAGCATGACCAAGTAAGATTTATTACAAGGAACCAAGGATGACTCAGCATCTGAGAACTGATCAATATTGAGGCAACAAAAGGAAAGATTAAGTACTGTAACATCAATAGATGTGGAGAAAGTATATGATAAGATTCAACATCCATCAACGATAAAGTCCCTCAAAAAACTGGGCATACATAAAACATATCTCAACAAAATAAAGGCCATGACAAATCCAAAACTAATGTTATTCTCAAGGGTGTTAAAAGATAGAAGACACAAAAAATTGGAAAGATTCATTGCTTATAGATTGGAAAAATTAACATTGTTAAAATGGCCAGCTCACCCAAAACAATATATAGATTCATTGTGATTCCTATCAAATTTTCAGTGGCATTCTTAAAAAAAATCAATATGTACCACAAAAAAAAATAATAAAGCAATTCTGGCAAAACAAATACATTGGTATTACATTTGCAGGTTTCAATATATACTACAAATCTAGAGTAGTAAAAACAGTATGGTAGTGAATGAAAATAGACACACAGATCAATGACAAAGAACTGAAAAGCCATAAATAAATAAATCATATAAACAGTTAATCTATAACAAATGAGCCAAAAGTTTATGCTGGAAAAAGGACAGTCTCTTCAATAAATGGTATTGGAAAAACTGGCAGCCACATGAAAAAGAATAAAACGAGACTACCATTTCACGTCAGGTACAAATATTAAGTCAAGATGGAATAAATACTTGGATATAAGATGTCAAACCATAAAATACATAGAAAACAAGAGCTAAAAAGACAATTCTCCAAAGAAAATGACCAACGGGCACATGAAAAAAATGTTTATTGTCACACAGGAAAATGAAAAACAAAACCACAATGAGATACCACTTCATACCTGTGTATATGAACAGAAACCTATATATATATGGCAAGGATGTGGGGGAAGAGGAAACCTCATCTGTTAGTGGGAATTTAGACAGTATAGAAGCTCCTCAAAACAGTAAAATTAGATTTACCATATGATCCAGCAATTCCACTCCTAGCTATCTAGCAAAAGAATGAAAAAATATCAATTCAAAAAGATATACACACTATTTACAACGACCAAGTTATGGAAACAATCTAAGTGCCCCAAAACAAATGAGTAGAGTAAGATGCAGTATATATAAACAGTGGAACACTACTCAGCTATAACAAAAAATGAACTCTTGTCATTTGTGACAGCATGGATGGACATGGAGGGGGAAATGCTAAGTAAAATAAGTCAGAAGCTAAAAGACAAATACTGGATGGTTTCACCAACACGTGGAATACAAATGAACAAAACCAGGGTCATACAAAGCCAAATCAACAATAAACCCTAAGGGGGACTCCCTGGTGGTGAAAGGGGTTGCGCACAGTGCTGTGAAGCTGCACGCTGCCACTGCAGCACGAGTTCGATTCCCGGCTGGCTGGCCAGGGAGGTGACCCACACATGGTACAGCAGACCTCTCCTGTCATGCCTGCTGCTCCCCTCAGCAGTGTACTTCGTTCTCTCTGCCCGTTCTGTTCCCTACTCTGTCTCTGGTGAATCCTCTCACCTCCCACACCTCTGGCCTGTACCCCAGTTCTTGTATTTATAAATAAATAAATCTTAAAAAAAATAAACTCTAGAAATATGACTGTAGTGTTGAGGTTGAGAGAGAGAGTAAGAGAGTAGAGAGCAAATTGTGGAGGGTATTCATTAGACGATGGTGGAGAACTATGAGTGCCTTGGTGATCAGTGTGGTGTGGTGATATATATCTAAAGAAGAGTGATCCTATATCCCTGAATCATATACAGTAGTGTAAAACACTATCACCTCAATAAAATAAATTGATAAAACACAACAAAAAACTCATTTAAGAGTCAACATTTCATTATTTCTTTAGAAAATAGAATAAATGTTTAGTCACCTATTAAGAGGGGTTCAAACAAATCTACCTCAAATCCATCTGTTTTGGAGGGGATGGCGAACATTTTCAGCAAATTTAAGCCACAATTACCTAAGCCTATAGTCACCAAAAATGGAGTTCTTCAAGTATGCCCTTATGTCCACAGCAGAGATCATGTAATATGGATCTTAAAATTTGGACTTTGGCCAGTCACCATTGATGACTTTGCATTATTGATGAACCAAAATTTAAATTGAGTGGTTTCTCCTAAATTGAGCAATTTCAATGCAAACATTCTTTGTATTAAATTAGATCTGGAATTAAACAGATTTCATTCCAAGATTTCCTTTAAAAATGTCTTATATTTATATTGAATTTCTAGAAAATTGCACTCACCTGCATCTGTTGCAACCACAGAAATATTATATTGATCATTTTTTACAAATTTTGATTCTCTGTCTAGCACTTTCACAGTTCTCAAGTTACCGGAGCGTTCATCAATTTCAAACCAGTTATCTTCATCTCTTATCTTCTTATACCTAATTTTTAGAAATCATATGTAAATGCTCAAACCAAAGATTGGGAATCATTTTAAAATCTGTCATTTTGAAAAATACATAGATGCTTCCTAAATTTGAAATCAATTTACATATTTAAAATAGGAAATTTTTGCAAAAGACATTATTACCTTAAGCCTTCACTGCTGCGTGTTTCCGGATCCACTGCTTTGTATCCAAGGAGTTCTTGGCCAGCTGGGAAGCCATCTTCGCTCTGAATAACTTTTACTGGTGGTTGGCACTCAGGGCCCTCATCACTGTCTTTAACTTTTACAGTGACAGTAGTAGTGCACATAGTGGGAGTTTGTGAGTTTGCTGCTTTAGAGAATTGTGCTTCGTTAAGCACACCAATTTGCAAAACAACTTGGCGACTGACTTCATAGTTCAATGCCTGTTCAGTAGACATATTTTAATCAGTTGCTACCCAACATTATATAAAGAGGACTTACAATTATAATTCTGTTTTGGTACGAAACAGAATATCATATTTGTACATAAACTGTTACCAAAAGTTGGTGGTAATGGAAAAACAACTAACTTCCTATAATTACAAACACTGTCCAATGCAAAACTGTTCATTTTAAGATTCATCATTTTTTCCTCACACTTTTCTTCAGGAAGGTCCTACATGCACTTTTTCATTACAAGTTTAAATATCAATAGAAATAAAGAATAGCTATTTGAATAAATTCAAATAGACTACTATTTTTCGTTGTGTCATTCTCTATCAACTGGGATAACAATAATAATGGGAAAAGCAGTTCTTCCAAAATAAGTATAGAAAATAACTAGAGACACCAGTCGAACACGAGATTGACTGTAACAAAGCAAGTTATTCTGAGAATATGAGTCAAAAGATTTAATTCTATCTAGAGAAACTTTTCAAAGCACATTACAGTTGGATTTATTTAGCTCCAAATTAGAATGTTCAGTCCTGAAATGAATAATTAGAGATACTCCTAAAACAATAACTGAATGATTAGAAACAAAAATCTATCAAGATAATAAAAGAAGGAATGCAAAACAAAGAAATGTAGAAGCCAAAAGAGAAAGAACGTCAAAAGTAAGAACAGACTACATAATTAAAGACTATAAAAATATTATAAGGAAAGTACAATTTGTGCATACATCTTCTAAGAAAACACAAAAGGTGCTTATGTCTCTAAGACATTAATGAGGGCACAAAAGAGATTAGTGAAGATTATTGGTAGAAGGACTCAGAAAGGAGTCAGGTTCAATTAAAACATTCAATCGATGTAGGTGCCAGTAATTATAATGGAATTTTTAAATCCCAAAGCATTGGCTACTTCAAATATATGGGGATTAATATAATAACTGCTGAATATTTAGTAAATGGTCTTATAAAACAACACTATTAAATTATATACACTATAAATAAGTTATAGAAAACTGAAAGTATAATATGAATATGAAGGGAATTAAAAGGTAAAGAGGTTAGATTTAAAATATTCTTCTATTTGTCTCTGTTTTGTGTTTTTTTTTTTTTTAATGTCAGGTATTTGGACAAATAGGTGTGTAAGACCCCATCAAAGATTAACATGACTGCTAGTTCAATTCTGCTGCCCTCCTTTTCCTCATGCATAGAACAATGAGTTTTGTATTTGCCTCCCCTTTAAGAGAGAAAATGTGGGTAAAATAATCATAATAAAAACATTTATGTAAACCAATGTAAATCCTTTCAGTATTGCATTGCACTTCTCTAGCCATACTCACAGGAATAGCAGAATAGATATTTATGCCCAACGGTAAGTCTGAAAATTTTAAAGCATTGTTTGATTACTATTTTTCATTTACCTTGACAACACACAAGACTGCCTCATTTGTATTGGGGTCTGTGGCAATTTTGAACTGTCCATTTTCATTCCCCTGTAGGATTGTATATACAGCCCTTGAGTGAGGAGTGTTTGGTAAATCCTGGTCATGTACCTTCATTCTTAAAATCTCAACATCAATTCTGTTTTCTTCTACCTCTGCAAAATACTGAAACAATTGCCTCTTGTTATTATAAATTCATTGCATTAACAACATGAGTTTTTTACTTTAAAATTTTATTTACTCATTTAAAGAAAAAGAACACAGTGACATGGAAATGTGCAATCACATATTGAGAAAAATTATAGGATTCATACATAGTTTACTTCTTTACTTGCTAACCCATATTTTTTTCCAAATCTCATCCATTCTTCAAAACCTAATGTTTATCTTATATTGTGTACTTCCTAAGGGAAAGTTTGTTCACCCAAGATACAGGAAAAGCCTGTATGTAGAGGGTGGTGAGTCAGCCAATGCTACTAATTTCCCATCAAGGGAACTGACCAAAGGATATAAAATGGTCTCTTTTTCATCTTCAAAATTTGAAATACAGGGCCTCCCTGGTGGCGCAAGGGGTTAAGCACTGCACTATGAAGAATCTGCAGCCTCTGCAGCACTAGTTCAATCCCCCGGCTGGCCAGGTAGCAACCCATATGGCACAGCAGACCACTTCTGTCTCACCTGCTGCTCCCCTCAGCAGCGTTTTCAGTAATTCTGCCTGTTCTGCTGCCCATTCTGTCTCTGGTGAATCTTCTCACCCTCCGCACATCTGGCCTGTACTCCAGTTCTTGTATGCATAAATAAATAAATCTTTAAAAAAAAATTTGAAGTGTAAAGGACACCAAAAAGAGGGTATCTCCTCTTTCTCCCTATAAGACAAATTTAATTCCAATGATCTGATACCTGAGTTTGGAATACAAGAAAACATATATGAAATGCTTCGAGGATTAAGAAGTTCTTAGACAGTGAAGAGAGTAGTTACAGCCCTAGAAATAACTGGAACTTCAATTATCTTTACAGAAATCATATTTTTCTGAGTATGTTACTTGTAAGTGGTAACTATTAAAATTAAAATGTATAATTTCACAGAGCTACCAAATTACAGGCTTCGTTTTGGAAAGAGTAAATGAATCTAGACAATTATCCTACAGATCTACTTACAGAAGTTTCTGTAAAATATGGCGAATTGTCATTTTCATCCTCTAGTGAAATAGTAATTGTTCCTGTATTAAATAAACCAAAAGGTTGGCCACCCATGTCTCGCACTTCCATTATTAACTGGTAGGTATCACATTTCTGAAAAAAAAAAAAGTATATTAATGAACACTTCTACTTACTGTAACATGCAGTTCTGACAGTCATTGTTCAGGCTCTGATTATTTCACATTCTTTTTTGATTAATTTTGCAACAAATGCCACCATAAACACCAATATAGAACAAGATATTAGCCAGTACAATGGTAAGTTTGATATGTGTAATATAGCATTTCAAAATATTTAAAGCTATTTTAGCATTCACACATCAAATTAGGTCTGTGATCTCAAATAAGACCTAATCTAATGCCTGTACTTTCCTAAAATCTCTGTGGGGACTAAGGAAGTCTGTAGGGGGGCCCTAACCACAGGTTATAGGAAAGCAAGTCTGGAGTGGTGGCCATAGGGGGTCTTCTGATAGCTTCTCTGAATGGTCATTATTGATTGAAATACAGGTGAGGGAGTGGAAATTAATTAATCAATTCATTACTTCTCTATCCAGCAAAGGTGTTGCTGTGGTGATGACACCTGTATCAGGATGTATGGAGAAATGCTTTGGTTGATCTGGGATTTGCTGTAAGATTTTGAATTTCAGACGAGTATGTAGAGTGTCAGGTTCATCAAGGTCTATGGCAGTCACTTGTCCCACAGAAGTTCCTATTTAGAAAAATCCAATATTGTCAGCAATTTAAAATAACAATTGAATTACACACAAAAATAAAACCAGGACATTGAGCTAACATATTCTACTAAATGCTCTCCAAACTCCAAGCTCAACTTATTTGGAAACTTCAGGTTACTGTGAAAAACATGATTTTTATTCTCCATCTACGAGGATATGCAATCCACCTTTTATAACAGTGATTCTCAAATTCTTCCCTGAAACTCAGTACTCCAGTTCATGAGCCATTTTTTGGACAGGGCTTTGTATATTTTGTGTCTTTATACTCCAACTTAAAAATGTTGATTAGAGGAGTGACACAGCTTTTCATCCAATAATAAAGATTTTATGCTTTTTTAATTTTAATAAATGTGTTAAATTGTTAATATATGAAAGTAATTATTATACACATAAGCCACAAACATTAGGCACCTGTCTGAGTATCATTTGGACAAGCTTTACGAACCAGAAATATTGCTAAATGGCCTAGGAAATGCTCCTTTTTCAAACCACTTATTGTGGGAAAACATAGAGACATAGATGCACAAAGACAAGAGAAAGAAGGAGGCATAATAACTAATATATCTTGCATGTTTTCTTAATAAACTGGATAGTCTGATTATGGTCCTTGGTATACCTAAGTCATATTCTTGGTTGCCCATAAAATAAAACCAATTTAATGTCCTCAATTCAGAGAATATTCCAAGTAAAACTATGTATATGTTCTCAAAAGACAGATCAGCATTTCCATGCCATGATTTCTGGGGTTTTGAAATATACTGAAAGTTTATAAGAATTCAAATTACTTCTTGAATTTTAAATACATCTGTGGCACACATGCCCATGGTCAAAATAATAAATACAAATAGCATTTGTTTGCCACAAATTCATATTCACTGTGTAGTAATCTCACAATGTTATTAAATTACATATATATCATTACATATTTCTATATGTGCATAGCAAAATGAACATAAATATCTTTACCTCTGTAGGTAAAGATGTATGTATGTTCTTCTTACAAAGTTTTGTCAAGCATTTTGAACTGTTTCACATAACTGTGTTTAAAGCATGGATGGTAGCAAAAATGGTAGAAAAATCTAGCGTGTTCCTAAAATGTGAACTTACCAGATCGGCAATTTTCAGGCACACTAAAGACAGTCAATTTGCTTTCAAAATATGGGGCGTTGTCATTATCATCTTCAACTTTGAATAATAAAGGAAGTGGGTATTCTGGAGCATAGCCATCTGCAGTTGTTGCGTAAGCGTATAGCTGAAAGGTAGACAAACACCATCAACTGGTTCTCCAATGAAAAGTTATGCATATAATTAAATCTAGCATTTGGGGAAAGAAATAATGTATAAAAAAATCATCCACCAAAGTACATATGACTAAGAACTAATACATTAGTTAGATGCACTAACACAGTCTATGCCTCCCGTATGTCTTTGGTGCATTTTCTGTATTCTCATTCATTCACTTAATACTAAACACTCCAGTGCATGAGGCGACTCCATCCCTGAGTTAACTGCATAATGTTCTACTTGCTGGAATGCACCTAGACTTCCTCAGGCTAATAATAAGTAATTTTGGGGTTTATAAAAAATATTATTTGGGCCTCCCTGGTGGTGCAAGGGGTTAAGATGCAACCTATGGAGCAATTCACAGCCTCTGCAGCATGAGTTCAATCCCCAGCCAGGGAGCTACCCACATGGCACAGCAGACCTCTCCTGATTTGCCTGCTGCTCTCCTCAGCAGTGTATCTCAGTCAATCTGCCTGTTGTGTTCCCCATTCTGTCTCTGGTGAATCCTCTCACTCCCCACATGTCTGCCCTGTACTCCACTTCGTGTATGCATAAATAAATAAATCTTAAAAATATATATATTATTTATTTGAAGGTTTGTATATAAATATACATAAATCTCACCTATCACCAGGTGATTCAACTATGGGTATTTTGTATTTTCTGTATTTATCTGCACTTGACCATATTTTCTAACATAAACATATATTTCTTGTATAATAAAAATGCTAACAAAATCATATTCACATTCCAAATTCCATCTCAAAATGATATATTGACCCCGACATCAGGATTTAATGTATTTTCCCACTAAACACATCAAATTATTTCTGCACTCTTCTCAGTGTGGTTCATGCATAGTGAATGTTCAATAAATAGTTATTGGGTTAACCAGATTTGCTTCACTGTCAGGATCAACAAAATCTGCCCAAAGCAAATTCTGTATTGACTTAGTAGTTTTTCACAGCGAATTCTTCGTGATTTCCCTACTGTACCATCTTCCAAAACAAACCAGGCTAAAAATCCCAGATCTCTGCCTCCTTACTCTTCTTCTTTAGTCTTAATGAATGCCAAATTCTAGAGATAATGCCATTTCTATGTCTTTACCATCCATCTTCTCTTTTCTATTCCCAATGCCACCATCTTCATGTGACTCCAAATAAATCTTACATACTAAGATTTTCATGCAACTTTCATGCAATTTCCCTGACCTTTTCTAATCTATGTAGTATTCAGAAGTCAGATTCATTTTCATAAAGCACATTTTTAAATATAATATTCTCTAATCAGATCTACCTATCCATTCCTGAAGCAACCACAAATCCTCACTGCTCTGTTAAACAGCAACATTTCATCTTCATGGTTCATGCTAACCTGGATGGGAAGGAGTTTTCACTCCAGTCTCTGGAATGGGATGTACTAAAAAACATGTTGTTCTCTCTGTTCCCTTACTCTCATTCTCCCACCCCAAACAAGCCCCAGGTGGGTTTTTTCAACAATAAAACTTATACTTTGATCTCCATCAGTCTGATCCCTGTATTTTATTTCTCAATAAATTCTGAACTCAGGAGTAGAATAAAAAAGTAAATCATCATTATACAATTTGCAAGGTATATCATCACCAAAATTGGTTTGATAGAAAAGCAAGGAAAATGTGTTTACTTTTAACCTTTGCTTTGACAGAGGAGGCTTTTATTCCATATTGCCTTAAGGGATTTTATAACTTGCATCTGGTTTACATCTCATGGTTACATTTCCCTCAATGAATTTTGCTGATTTGCAAGGGTGTTTCTTAACATCAATTCAAGCTTGTTAATGTGAACAAGAGAAGCAAGGGTAATTCCAAAGGGAAAATTATTCAAAAATACAATTCTGAGCAGGAAGTCCAAACTATTTTATTTCTTTGTCATTTAAAAGACATCAAAAATAGTGAAGTAACTTATTTTAATTCTTTCTCCTTTCCCTCTGGCAATAATCCCAACAAAAAGTCAAGAGAGACAGCAGGTTGACCAGTGAAAAACAGCTGAAGGCCTCAAAAATCCATAAATAGGCTGTTATCAGAAGAAAAAGAAATGAAGTATACATCACAACATACAGAGTAGGCAGTTTTTTATTTCCACATGATACTGACTGTTAATATTAGACCTGTTCTTCTTGTGAAGGATTCATAAAAGCAGCAGAGAATTTACATATTTATGTACACATGTGTTTGTGCATTGAGAAGCAAAACATCACCTGTGCACCATTTATGTAGGTTGGATGTCTGCCATGCTGTGTTAATTCATCTATTTGGTTTCTTGAAAGAAAGATCAAAATGTTTGCAAAAGTGCTGACCATACCTCTCCTATAAGGACCTATGTAAGGTATTTTCTAAAGTAACAATTTGATATCTTTATGAATAGAGAATATAAATTCTAGAGATTCTGGATGGGAACATCAAATCATAAAGAAAATGCATGACTCTAATTCAATCATTTTCTTTAATGATGAAATCCCTAATATGGTATCTTTATTTTATTTCAAAATTTCTATCTATGGAACATGGTGGAGGATTGTTGGGGCACTGGTAGGGGAAAGGTATGAATGTATATATTCATTGAGGTTTGAACTTATATGTAACCCCTGGCCAGATACAAAGATATAAACCTACTTTATCTGAATCAACATAATCTGGAGAAACAATTTCTACCTTGTATAATCATGGCATCCTTAGGATAGGGCCTCAGCATCATACACCAAGTTTTTCACATCCTGGTCTTTACTTACCACTCTAGTATCATATGTCATACTCTTCCTCAGTTTCAAACAACACTCCAGCCAGAGTTTGTTCTTATTGTTTCTTGTTTTAACCAATGAGTCTGTCTACAAGATTTAGCTATCCACTCCTCCTCTTTCCTCCACAATTGTTTACTTCTTTCACAATTGCCTTTATATAGCCACCAATCCCTACTCATCTTTGTATATCTGCTAACATATCCAAATCACTCACTGTGATTTCTCTTTTATGTAAAATTAGACATCAGTATACTAAGAAAACATGTAAACTTTGAAACAACAAAAAAAAAAAGAATTTCATTTTCAGAAGTTAGAATTTTTCTTTGGGTTAGATTAGATAGAGTAAGATGAATTGGTTACCATCCAGATTATTAAAGAAATAAAATAACACTCAAGATATTGTCATTGAAAGACAATGAATGTGAAAGAAAGAAAAGAAGTACAGTTCCAAACAAGAGATGAAAGCATGTACCTCCAACCCAGGACACAATTAAAATCACCTCAGGTAAATTCAAATTTTCAGTTGCCCAGAACCCATCCTAGGACAATTAGGTCAGGATTTCTGGAAGTGGGTTTGAGTATCATTATTTAATTTTAAAAATTCTCATGTGATTTATAAGCAGGGTTGAAGATAATCAGGTTGAGTTATGTAATTCAGGTTCCTACCTTCAAACTCAACAAAATTCATTTTGTAGTCCCAGAATTCTACAGGTCCAAACCTGCTCTTTCCATGCTCCCACATAACCACAGCATAATCATCAAAATCAGAAAATTAACATCTATACGTTATTACCATCTATCCTCAGATACCATTCAGGTTTTGCCAGTTGTATGAATAATGTCTTTGTAGGCTCCAGTGCTGAACTACCTCTTCCATTCAGTTGTCATAACTCCTGAGATTCATCAAGTCACAAACCTCCATCTTTTCCTGGACTTTCAAAACTTTGATACATATGAAGAATACAGGTCACTTATTTTTTAGGTATCTCCATGTTTTTATTTGTTTCCCCCTGATTAGATTTAAGATATGTAACTCTGGCAGAAAGATAGCAGAAGTGCTATATTCTTTTCATTAAATGTTATCAGGAACCCCAAATTTTCATTTGTCTCATTATTGCTGAGGTTAACTTACTGCTTGATTTAAAAAAAACAATGTCTGTGAGGTCTTTCCATAATAAATTTATATATTTTTTTCCTTTTCAAAATTAAGAAGAGCTTTGTGGAGAGTTACTTCAAAACTATGAATATCTTATTCCTCATGAAAGTTTCAATTTATTCATTTAAATGACCCAAATTTGTTCTTTAAGTTTCTATCATTAGATAGATAATGATCACCCCTGTTTTCTTCCCTTATGTTGATTACTCAATCTTCATCAGTGGCACCAATCGGAATTTGAAGCTTGTATTTCACATAAACCGTATTTAAAATATTAAATCAAATCATTGATTCTTCTACTATGTAAAAAAAGTAGCATGGAAATATTAAACCAGTAGTGAAAAATATATAATTCTAAGTAAATAATCTAGTAATCTTACCGGAAATTCTGCATATTGCTCACGGTCTATGCTTCTTGTACAAAAGATATCCCCTGTGTCTTTATCTATGAAGAACAAATTGAAGGGTTCTTTGTCTACTCCTGGCCCACTTATGGAGTAAAAGATGGTGTAGTTTTGTGCAGAATCAGATTGGACCTGTAAAAATAAGAAGAATTTTAGGAAAATAAATATCTATAATCAACTCTTTCCGAAGTTCAGTTTTTTTTTAAGTCATTTGCTCTTTTTCCTACTCATCTTGTCTACTTTCCTACTCACCAGCTCCCATATTTTACAAATTCCTATTTACATACTACTGTGTGCAAAACACAAACTCTGTTACCTATTTGATCCCAAATTATTTTGAACTAGCTACATATTTATTGAAAATTCATGGAACTAGATGTATCTTTCCAATTCCTGTTCACTTATCTTGTTCCTATATAAAGTATAGTAACAGGAGGATTTTTAATTATTTGTAGTAGAAGATTCTATGTCTTAAAATTGTAATATAATGCAACCTTCTTTCCACAAGTAATTCATCAAGAATTGTATGATTTCAAAGTTGACTTATGTCTACACTCCAGCTGTATGGCAATGAAACCACCTTTTTGGTAAACAGAAACACTGGCTTATTTTGTGAAGATAAGTGCTAATTAAAGGGAGAGCTGAATTATGCAAAATCCATAGCATGTCCTCTGTGTATGAATGCCTAAGCATGTTAGTATATTCAGGAAAATCTGGATGTGACCTGAAAACTCAGAAACTCAAAATATGAAATTTTTTTCTAAATGCTAAATATGATTTCTAGTAGAAATTGATAGAATATAGATTCCCTTCTCCTTGATCTTAGTTCTGATGAATAGGCGATTCTAAACAGGTTAAAGCCCTGATTCAATATACTGTGCAATCAAAAAGGAAAGTTTTAAAAAACAACCAAGCAAGTCAGAGTGGAATGTACCTGCTGAACATGTTGTGGAAATGGACCCAAGGAGTTCTCCATTAGTGAACAGGGAATAGGGGCCCACCGTCTCTTGCTGCGCCTCAGGCTTTTCTGCTGTTGTTTGGTTTGCCTTTTCACAAGAAGCTGCGTTTGATGAGAGATGAAGAAATAACATTGCTTATTATTCGAGAAACTGAATTTTCATATATATATCAACATAAAGAAAGTGAGTAAGGGGTATATAGAACAAAGTTGTACATAACCTCCAAACCATTTCAGCTTTTTTCACTAATAAAACACACATACATGGGCAGGTACACACACAGGATTAAGAATCAACTTCCTAATTTAACCTGTTAAACAACCAGAACTTTGGGACCTCCTTGGTGGCTCAGGGCTTAAGTCTCAGCACTATCAGCCTGAGTTGCCACTGCAGCCTGAGTTCAATCCCTGGCCAGGGAGCTGACCCATATGGCACATCAGACCTCCTCTGTCCATCTCGCTGATCCCCTCAGCAGTGTATTTCAGTAGATCCCACTCTGTTTCTGGGGTATCCTCTCAACCCCCACTTTTAGCCTACATCCCAGTTCTTGTGTGCATAAATAAATCCAAATAAACCTTTACAAAAAATAGAACTTTTATAGGACATTTCTGAAAGATGCCAGCTTGAGAAGTACAGACCCCTAAAAATAGATGATCCATTAATTATTGTTTACTAGGGGTACTGTAGCTAAAATTTGTTAAAACATTTGCTTCAGTTCCAATCCCTTACATATTTATATAAAGACACAGGTCAGCATTTGTTTAGATATGTTTTATTTTACAAATGTGAGGATTTTTTCGATTTGAGTATAAAATATTTTGTAAGTCTTAAGCATATCCAAAATTTGATGAGTTCTTGTAATCAAAAGGAATTTAGGTGGGAACGTCTTTTCTAAATTGAATTCCTTATTAATAAATTATTTTACAAAACCAAACTCATTGTGCAAAGTTTGCTTAAAGTAAGATATATGTGAATTCCAGTTACCTTTTCCCTTCCTACTTCCTGAACACCACCACTCACTACAGGTTTCTCCATTCTCTGAAGAGAGGGACCCCATAGAATTTTGATTAAGAGTAAACCTTAGACAATTTCTTCTCTTCAAAGAGACTCAAAATCATAATAGCTTGGGAGGGAGCCATTCAGGGTGGAGGCTATACCTCCCAGCCTGCGTCAGTTTTCACTGAGACTTAGCCCCACCCTGGCCTTGTTCTTCGGGTTGGTTCTTATTGCCACACCTCAAAACACTGTATGAAATCTTTGATATTTTGACTTTGCTCCCTGGCTGTAGAGTTGATCGTTTTGATGCCATTTGTGAATAGCTCTACCACTCCTTAACATGGTCCAGTTTTTCCATACGTTACATATTTTTACATATGTTAATTCACAGTGGAATAGACAAACAATGGTTTTAACATGAAAGTGTATGAAATGAAGGACAGTCATAAGCAGATGAGGGTCTTTGTCTAATATACCTTTCTCCTCACCACCAGTTCCACTTCTATCCCTTTGTTTTTCTGAGTCTGACTGTCTGAAATAAAAATGGAAAAACTTTTCCTTTCGGAAGACAAAATGAGGTCATGTGTTGCAAAAATCGAGCCATCTTCCTGAATTCTGAAGTCTGGATCACTTGACTGGATTAGGCTGGCTACTGACTGGAGGCACTCCTTCAGATTCACTACAGGGAGAAAATTTCACAGTCATTTGTAAGTTGAAACAAGAACAGAACAAGTTTTACAGGAATTGCTACTGCGAGTTAGTGGCAAGAGAAACAGAAAGGAGGGGTTACATTTGAAATGTGTTGAGTACCTGATCTTCTACAATTTAGGGGCCAGAAAATTAAATAATTAAATTAATGGAGTCAGTTTGCATTACTTGCATCATAAATTAATGTCTAAATACATATAAATATTTTCACATTGTCTCTGGGCTGACTTTTCCATTTTAATTTTTATGGGTTTGTATACATAGATACATATTGTAATTTTATATAGGCTGCATAAAATATACCGTCAGATTTTTAATTTTTTTGCAATGATCTTTGATAGTTAAAACTAACTTGCAAAAAAAATAAAAAGTGGTCTATTCTTTATTCTTAAGTAATAAATAATCATTCTATAATAACTTGAATAGACCCAAAGCTTCATGTATATTGTGATTGTTATCAACATATTTCCTTTACAAAACCGTGATTAATACATGCACCATATTTACCATGTGTCTATAATGTATAGAACTACTTATCTTTAAATTTTTTTGAGCAAAAAAAATGACTAATTTAAAACCTCAAAGCTCTGGGCAAAGCATTGTCTATCTTTGAAAGGATATCACTTTTATATTCAAGGAGTATTTTTCTAAATGCAAGGCCAGTGAAAAATTGTGATCGAAGGAATATTACTTTTGGATTCAGAACAACCAAACCTATGATGGGTTGTCAGTAATACTAAGACTTGTAATAAATTGTATTTGATTTTCACAAGTTGTCCTGAAATCACAAAATCTTGGCAAGTTCATTGCAATAACCTCACATTTTATCTTGGGATATTTAATTTTGACACATCTGTTTTATAGCTAAACAATTATATAACCTTGACTTTAGAATTTTGGCAGCAGTGTAGTAAATATGACTTAAAATGGGCTTCTGGTTTTGGTGACTCGCTTTGCTTAAACTAAGCTATATTAGCCCTCTGACGCTTGCTAATTTTTCTAGCAAGAAAATATACAACTAACCTGGCACTATAATTGTTTCTAACCACAACCCAAAACAAGTAGTTCACCTTTCATTTTATATTGAATTTAATTTTAATGCCAGTAGTTACTATATGGCTTTATTATAAATTTTACAACAGCAGCCTAAAGCTAAATGTAGCAGTAAAAGCAATGAAATTCTTAATACCACTTCTCACCTTTTCCTACAAGTGTGTCAGCTTGAAGATGAGAAGGAACTTGAAGAGAAATTTTCTGACAAGCATCACAAAATAATATTAAAACCTCAAAAGAAAGAAAAAATAGGCATTACACTTGATCACAAACTCATATTATTTACAGCATTGTCTTATTGATAAAATACTGTCAATTTTAGAATAAGTAATCTTCTATTCCTTCTATATCTTGTTTATATTCATTTTAAAAAGGAAAAAATGAAAATTTTAAGTAAACAGTAGTTCTTAGAACTTGAATCATATTGTATCAAGTCAAGAAAATGTCATTTCTCGAAATAAAGTAAAACCTAAAATCAAATCTCACCACTGATCTCATAAAAAGGATACCTTCTAAAGACCATTCTAAATGCCATTCTGAAGAAAGTACTTAACTCTGAATAATAATAGGCATACATTTGTACAGAAATCATTTTCACAGTCACAAATAATTTGAGGGTATAGATGACTAAGTCTAGAAAATATCTGAGAATTTTTTTAACATCATAAGGGAAAGCATTCAGAAATATTCACTGTTCTCAAATTACTCCTTGGATTAGCTTGGCATAAACTTCAAAGTCAAACTGGTTTCAAATCACAAAACCAGTATAAAAAAGAAGTACATTTTTAAAAATACAGAGAATAGGCTTCAATGAACTAAAGATTTTTAATTAAATTCAAGGCAAAGTTACTATTTTAGGAAGTTCAAAGAAAGAAAACAGAGACTGCAAAAAATTAAAGAAATGCTACTAGTTTATACCAGTTTAGCTGTGTCTATAAGTTCAAAATACATTTTGCTTCTTTTACTTGATATATGCTAATTTTATGCTTCCTCTTCTACTTATCAAGCACTCTCTTCCTTTTGATTAATCAAATATAAAAGAAAGTAGAGCTAGATTTCCAGAAATGAATAGGTCAATTTTCTGTTTAATTTTTCTCTGCAGGCATATTTCTGGTTAGGGGGGCCCATTATTTGGGGAGGTGGGAAGAAGGAAGAGGAATCTTCACCTATACTATGGGTGTGCACTTCTTTCCCAACTCAAGTCTATTGGCTGCATTACATCAGTATGCTTAAACAGTCTATATTTTTACAAAAACTCTGTTAGGCAGATAATACCAAAAACTGTAACTTATAAAGTCACATTTGTATCACTTTTTAATTTAGATAACACTTCTTAAAACATGAGACATTATAATTTATCTGACTTTTTATGTTTATTCCTATTGCTAAGGAATGAAATGAACTACATCTAAAGAACTTTCTGAGCACAAAGAATTCTATTAATAATGGTCTAGATAAATAATGTAGAAAGAATATTTTATAATTAGAATGTATATACATATACAATAATACATATATACAGATACTTATACATATGCATATATATGCATATAAACATTATTAATAACACAAGTTATTCTCCTAGAATATATATCCACATTCCTAGTTCCACCCCCTTTTTCTCTCCTTTCTGTGCCAGAACTCCTACTTCATTGGTTCTGTCTCTGTATGCAGAGACAATGAAGGTCTCCAGCAGAACTATTTCAGTCCTAGGCTAAATTATTGGCCTAGTGATTTGGAGTGAGCTGGGGTGTAGCACCCTTTCCATCAGGGATGGATAGGAAATGAATGAAAGCATATTGTATACAGCAGAGAGGAGACCAAAAGTTAAAGAAAGCTACGTGAATTTCTTGGGAAGCTTTCATCACATTTTCCTAGCTAATTCTAACTCAAGATGGTGCCTGAGTTTCCCCCTCAGTTATAAGATGATTATAAGATGATGTAGTTATAAGATGAAAACATGACCAGCAACACCATCACCTCCCACAGTATGTTGTTCATAAGACGGAAATGTTTATCCCCGTGTCATAAAATCGATGAATTCTGAAAATATAATGCAAAACTAAAATATTTTCCTAAAATGGAGAACAAAGGAAATCCACTGCTCTGTATTTTCCCCTCTCCCCACCAAAGAAAATAATAGCACCTGAGTACACAGTCACAAAGCTTTTAAAAACTGAAGTGGAAACCAAGCTAATTCAGTCTTTTAACAACCATGAAACTTTTGTTTTTCTCAGGTTAAACCCTTTGCTTGAACTTAAGAGCTCTGCTTTTTCTGAGCTCTGCCTTTTCTTAGCTCTTTCTGGGTAAACTTTAGAAAATCCTGGATAATTCTCAACTCCACCCAGAATCCTTTTCTAGCAGCTCAGTCAAACTGAGCATGTTAAATAACTGTAGTTTATTTAATAACTAGTAGCAAATGCAAACCTCAGAAATCTGAGCCAAGTGCCTAAGAAATAAAACCATTCCCCTACTCCTTAGAAAAACACCACAGCAAGATCGAACAAGGGATTCCCTTGAAAAATTTTTATGGCCTGGCAGTGGGCAAATGAAGAGTGACCAAAACATCTGCTGTCCCAAGTCACAAATCTCTCATGCCTTCCTTGATTTTTTCTTACTTCTGTTTTTGTTTTCCCAGTCCATCTTCTCTGTCTTCCACTCCCCACCCCTACCCTGTTTCATGCCTGAACTGGAGGGTGCAAACGCGTAGTAACCTGCATGAATTCCCTAATCCTTCGGCTGTTACTCACCAGGAGAGAGAAAAAGAGCTGCTTGCAGAAGATGCTCCCTGGGGCAGCACAGGCCACAGCCATCAGAAGTGGTCCCAATGGTCAGGGATGGTACCTGGACAATAGGGCAGCTTGGGATGCACAAGGTGGCTAAATCAATTCCCACCAGCAGGCACTTGGGCAGGATATTCTGCTGCCACCTTAGTGCAGGTGAGCTTGGTTTGGAGGAGAAGCAGGAGGCAAATGATAAAGGACAGGAGGAGGAGCAGCAGGAGAATTGCTTTCCTCCTTTTCCCAGATCAGTCTTCCTCCTTCCAATTCAATTACCTCTGAATGTAAAGAGGTTTTCCTACAAGTGGGGAGGGTGGGGTACCATACACCCCAAAACCCAGTCACTAGCTCCTCCTCACAGCTTTCAAAATTTCTCCTACCACTTGGCACATAGGCAGAGGCAAGAGGGAACACCCTCCATCCTGGGCCCTCCTCCCTTTCCCCCCAGGTTGATGCTCTGAAAGCCTTCCCAGTTATTACCCACTCCCACGTCCTCCCCTCCTTCTCGGCCTTATTAACCTATCTTGCCCCTGGGTACAAACATAACTTGTGCACAGACTCCCTGCAAAGAATGATGCTTCCTCAGCTGCAATTGGCAGATCAGGGTACATGTGCGTGTGTAATCACTTCCATCGACGTTATCTCCCTATCTAAGCACTTAGGTGTAGTCTGTCACATTCAGTGTTGCCATTCTGCCAGAGGGACCAGGTACTCCAGTCCACAGCAGCAGCTTCATGCATGCATTGTATTCTATCCCTATCCCTGGCTTGATCTTCTAGAAGTCACAGGAATTTACCAGAATATATAGACCTAAAAGCCAGAGAATAAAGAAATAATTTGGATATAATTTTCTTGCCGCATTCTTTTTGGTCCTCATCAATATTATTTTCCCTTGAGTGTCTTTATTCAAGAATGACTGAGATTGTGAAATCAGCTTTCTTTAATTCATTCCAATCATTTCTATAATCTATGCAGAATATCCTAGCCTATAAATACAAGAATTCTATCACATTAGTTTTTAAAATACTATTGACCCTTACAATGTGGATTTAACATCATTTTTTTTTCTGTTAAAACTTAGTGAATTCACTATCAACTACACACTGTAGCTATGGTGGAAGTCAGGGAAGCAGTGTAAATATTTTTAAAAAGTAATAACTTAATTTGGAGTAGAGAGAGGGAACTAAAATTCACATATACTGAGACATTGCTAAGAATCAGGAATCAGGACAAGTATTTCAGTGAATCCTCCCAACAATTCACTGAGGGCTCCTTTCAGGGCTCCTTTCTGTAGATCCACAGACAATGGAGAAGTGAACATTTAAACATCTGTCTGCCACCAAAGTACCACTCTTTCACATGACTGATGACATATATGATGAATATATACCAAAATAATAAAAAAGGAGCATAAAATGATGAGCAGGTATGTCAGAACTCTGGTTTGCTGAACAATAATCTTGTTTGAGACTAGTAAAATATATTCAAAAGAAATTGGAAACTGCAACTCTCAATAACAGTTAATCATTCTAAAGACTGCAGCCATCTGGCCACTTTTGTGAGAGTCATTCTGTGGTCAAATAAAATGACCGTTAAACTATTTACTTTATAAATTTTATGTGTGAAATTACTCTTCCTGTTACTGCTAATTGCATTTCTATGTTAAGTTTAATTAAAAGTAAAGGTGGGCCCTCCCTTGTGGCACAGGTGTTTGAGCGCAGCACTGTGAAGCTGTCTGTAGCCTCTGCCATGCTGGTTCGATCCCCGTCGGCCTTGGAGCAACCCACATGATGAGCAGACCTCTCCTGTCTTGCCTGCTGCTCCCCTCAGCGGCATATTTTGTCAGTCTGCCTGTTCTGTTCCCTGCTCTGTCTCTGGTGAATCCTCTCACCCTCCCGCACATCTGGCCTGTACCCCTGTTCTTGTATAAATAAAATAAATCTTTAAAAAATAAAAATAAAAAAAATAAAAGTAAAGGTCTAGTTCAATATCCAAGCTATTAAAAAAGGAAGGATGATTTTCTTGTGCTTATTTGAGAATGGAAACAATTGCTTTTTGTGTGTAGAAGTGGAAAGAATATTATAGCTGCTTCTTTGCATTTAGAGGTCAGGATGATTTGGGAAATAAAAGCTCCTGGAACAAAAACAAAAAAATATCTTGAAGAAGTTTACTGCCAATAAATATATTTTGTGTCTTCATCAGAATTTCATTTCTCAATATGAAAACAAAATTACTTAATCGAATATTTTAATATTTGATATTTTGGTTAATATGAAAATAATGGGAATATAGATATATGAATAATTAAGTGTATTCATGTAGATCCAAATCTAATTCCTGTGTTTCAGCATAATTACATAGATATACGTATATAAGTATGATGTACATATGTGTATACTTGTAGCTTGAAGAATTCAAAAGCTCAAATTTTCCAGTTTTCCAATCTTTGAAAATGGTTATGTATCTTCTAGCTAATAAAGTCATTATTATGTTTTCTTATATTATCAACTTGTCCAATGAAATGGAAAAGAATTCTAGCTAAAAATAAAATTGAAGATACTGACAAAATTAGCATGAATTGTTCTTTTGAGGAAATGCAAGGTACTGCCAAGTTCAAGTATATCCAGAATATTCTCCATGGTTATGGAAAACTGATTTTCTTGATAGTACTTCTTTTAGTTTAGTTGCTACATGTTTTCTTCACCCATTATCTTTCTTTCTCAAACACTAAAAAAAAACCTTGTATAAAAGCTAATCCAAATCATAGCTTCCATACTGGTCAATTAGACACAAAGATTTCCTTAATAATCTAAGTATCTTTTAGGAAACTTTATTATTATAAGAAAATTACAACTTAAAATCAAGTTAACTGGAAACAAAATTTATCCCTTCCACTTTTCTGCAATCAGATTATTCAATTAGAGTTCTCTTTTATTTTTATTTTGATGTGCATGATTTTGTTTGCTTTATGTCTAAATTAACAGTAGAACTGAATGGTTGATGTCATAGGATGGTAAAGTGTTATACTCTGGAGTTAGATTGCTGGGTTCAAATCTTGACTTAAGTATTTATTAGCAGTGTAACTATAGACTAGTCACTTAACCCTTTTGTGCCTCAATGTCTGCACTATAAAATAGGAATAATAAGTTCTCCCCAGAGGCGCAGTGGGTTGAGCACAGCACTATGAAGCTGCCCATAGCCTCTGCAGCATGAGTTCAATCCTTGGCCAGCCAGGGAGATACCCACATGGGGTGGCAGACCCCTCCTCTCTCATCCACTGCTCCCCTCAGCAGTGCTTTTGGTCCATCTGCCTGTTTTGCTCCCCACTCTGTCTCTGGTGAATCCCCGCACCCTCCCATGCCTCTGGCCTTACTCCAGCTCTTGTATAAATAAGTAAATCTTTAAAATAAAATAAAATAGGAATAATAATAGATATTAATTCATAGGTTATTATGAGGATAAATGTGAAATTATGTAGAAAGTACTTTGAATAGCACCTACATATAACCATTCATGTTATATATCATATACTTTCCTCAGTACATAATAAAAAGTTAAAGGGATTGAACTTCAAATAAACTAAGTACAGAGTTATTGCAAATCTAAGGTCTTCTGTAAAAGCTTTGTCAAATACACAGCCAAATTTATTCATTGAACAAGTACTTCAGGGTCCATATAGTAGGCACTGATACCACATACAGAATGTTTTCAGCACAGACAGAAATCTTTTCTTTTTTAAAAAGGGCATACTGTGTTCTATTTCCAGTTAAAATTATAGGGTTAAAGGAGATCCCATGCCAAATATTAAATGACAGCAATTCAGAGAGAAATTAAGAATAGACAACATTGAATTCTTCATGCAGAGATTCCTATAGAAGAGAAGAATTAATTTAAAAAATCTGATTTATGGTCATCCAGATTTAAGCCCAAAGATCTACATGACCCTTGTGGCTCTTTAGTTTTTAGCACAAGACATGTCAAGACAATATGACTTCCTATGAATCTGAATCTCAGAGAATGTCTCGTGGAAATATAGTAACAAATTTTATAAGGGACATTTGTGCACAACAAAAATGCCAGTTCTAATTAAATTCAATACCTCAAAATAGTCACTTAATGACAAAATTATTATCTGCCAGGTGACCCAACATATTCTAAAAGACTCTGGACGGAGAGGAATGCTGTGTACATTGATGAAGCAGTAACAAGGCACGCCATGTTAAATACACATGACAGAGGATAAAAGCTACTAGAGGGATTTTAAAAAAAAATGTGCATTTGTGATCTGGTAACCTTAATGAGAAAGAGTGGATGTGTATGAAAAAAATCTTGGCTATAAAAGGCATCTTGGGTCACATGAGTTTATTGTATGTTGGTGGAAAACCCCTTTAATTCCACAGGACTCAGATTTCAATTTGGGTAATAGATTATTACAAATTAAAAATAATTCATAGGTGCTGATAATTATGATTTCTTAAGGCTGCATACTTGGAATACTGATTAATTTCTATAAAATGATCACTCTCATTAACAAATCTGTTGGCAGATTTATGAAAAGAAATGTCCGCATACATCTCCGTATAATTTACAACTCTCTCTTCAGCTCACAAATCTACTTCAGACAAAAAAAATTGTTGAGGATAAAACAATTTGTTAGGTCATGTAATTGGAAAGTCCAGGGATTACCTACATTCAGGCACTCTGAACCAGCTGATCAAATGATGTCTCCAATGCATTGGTTCCCTTCCTCTCTTAGCTTTGCCTTTCTTCATATTAGTTTCATTATCATCTACTTTGTCAGTAAATTAATACTATAAATTTGGTTTGTCAGTCATTTCAAAAGATGTCCACAAATCTAAACTTTCCTTATTGTCATTTCAAAATTATGGGTTAGTTTTCAATCAATAACTTATCAACATTTTCTATGTTCTTAGCACTATGCAGAGTGTTGATGCAAAGCTGAAGAAAGCATGATCTCTGCCCTCATGAACATTACAATCTCCTGTATGTTTTCAAAATTAGTTAAAGTACTT